AAACGATATTGATTATATTTAATAAATTTAAAATATAAAAATATTTTATCCGTATAATGTGTAACGAAATCAGAAATATAAATGAAATTGGAAACATTAGACACCTACAAACACGTTTCAAAATATTAACTATTATATTTAGCCATTGTGCTGTGATACCTTCATCGTATCATAATAATTAGTTCTTTATCTGATCACTGTAAGATCTCCAGTTGTTTTCGTATCTTTGAACAGTTATTTGGTTTTGACCAGTTGCCCCTTCAGTGGTTGTTTAAGGTATTTATAAAATTTACCAGTTATACCTTCAACCAAATGTACTAATTGCCTTCAACATAATATTATGTACACGATTACAATACCGATTATACCGAATAAGTACAGTATTAATTATAATAATATGATAAAAATTATTATAAGTCATAAACTCATAACAAACATAATTTATTAATTACACGTATTAACATTATAATATATTTTTTATTTTTATTTTATTTTTTGACAAATTACATTGTATGCCTCTTATTATTATTATAAATGTTGTATTTATTCTGTTATTATAAGCATTTTTTTCGTTTTCAATTATTTAAGTTTTCGTTTGCTCTCATTCACGCCATGCAAGWGTGGAAATATAATTGTATATATTATAATATGTCGAGGGTATATGCCCTACTGATTGAGAGAACCATTGCAGTACTCCGTTTTTTAGAACAACTATGAAACTTTAGAACACAAATGCTAATTTTCTAGAATCTACGTAACACCCAGGCACCCAGAGGCTTCAGGATTCATTTAACTGCCAGTAAGTCAGACTTATTTTTGCAAAAAGTGCTCCTTTATAATGAGGGCGAATGTCACTAACCAATAACAAACCACATGAATTTCGTTCCTATTTATAGATCAACTTCTCAACTACAATCTTTCCTTTGTGAATAATATTCTTTACATTAATTTTTATTGTGATTAACTTGTTATTAAAAAGCCAAATGTCGTTAATTACCATAAACAAAATGATATCACACAGTATGTCACGATAGTCGTGCTCTGCCGGAGACGGAGACGCTTATAGAGAACAATCAAATTTATACAAAACACAAATTATCAAAGACATAATACCTAATTTATTGTTTATAAATTATAAAACCCTATGGTATTAATTAATAATAAGTACTCATCACACGCATGCACAATGTTATTATAGTCATAAATATAACAGTGTAATCGACTTATCGTCTTAATTATTGTCAAAGACACACAATGTATTTTTTGAAACCATAATAGATTGTTAAATCTATCACTATAATAAAAAAAGGCAATTTGGCGTTACATAATAACTCCATGAAATATAATGGTAATAATAATTATTAACTATATACATACTTCGAGTTATTATTGGGTACTGGATAATTAGGTCAAAATTATACGCTTTATAAACAACAACTCTTACGTACCGAACGTCTTTTACTGATTTATAGGTATTTTGTTC